TAGGCTCCTATGGGCCATGGTAATAATTAATAAACACTGCACAGCGCGCTGCAGTGTATGCGAATACTCACGCATATATGTTAACGTAAAATGCAAGAATCAGTGAGAGAAAAACTTACTATTAACGCTGCAGGTTTTTGAATGGGCTTCTACTACCGTAGTTTATTATTGGCGCATTCTTTGTGAATGAAATCTATTGTTGTTGTGCCCGAGAACATGTGTTGTTGCTCTACATCTCGCCTACTTCGGGTCAAATAGTGTTCTTTTCCAAAGAAATGCTACCTGTACTTTGGAGTGCTGGGACTTTCTGTGTAAAAAAAGGTGCCATTTCTATACAGCACCATGACCATCACTGCCAATATTATCCAATGTTTTTTACACTATCAAAATCATTGAGTCCCCTTTGTTTATATGGGTTAAGTGTTAATTGTTTGTTGTTCGTTCTCCAAAAACACATATCAGAAATAACGCACCGTGCAGCTGACTGTTTATATGACTTAAAGTTCTGCTCGATACTGAGAACTAACTATTGGAATTTCTCATTATTTGCAGACGTCATTAACTGCACTAACTAGTTTCACAAAATCTCGGTCAGTCATTCATCAGAATCTGGGGCACGGGTCACACACTATGGCTCTCATTGCACGCTAGCACATACTTTCTATTCGTGTCAGTGACTGTTTATAGGTGTGATGGGCGGGGGGGTCCTTGAACAAAATGCTGTCTAGGCCCCAGAACACTGAACCGGATGAGTACACCATGCGAACATTTTAAGGCATTTAATGACACTGAAAAGTTTGATTCTCACGCAAAATGACCAGATACGATTTAAGACAGCGATAAAAGTACACGCAATGATGAGGAGAAGAAGCAAATCTAACACAGACGAGAGGGTTTGAAAAGAATATTCCTTTTATATAGAATATTTCTGTGTTTAATTGATAGGTAATTTATTTTAAAGAACTTTCATGAATTTTAACTGTACTTTCACAGGTTTAGTCTCTCATAACCCTTGGCAGGGTGGGTTTTTAATTTTAAACGTGAGACGTAAATAAAATCATTATTATTATCAGTGCGACATTGACGACCAGACTGAAAGCCGAGGAGAGAAACTAAATTGCTAGCTATTTTCATATTACTGATAACGATATTGACAAGACCATAGACGGGCTTCTACTCCATTAACATATAGATTACCCGGTATAATCTGATTATCATATTGATTTTATTTATGCATGTTAATGTTTGAAGTATTTTATTGTAAATCATGGTGAACTGGTTTTGTTAATGACATTATATTATAAAGTTTCCTTGCAAGAGAACAGATAGAATTAGAAAGACGTTCTGCAGCTACAAGCCACCGCCAAGGCACTTAATTCTCATTATTATTAATTATCTATTAATTATTTAACTAAATTAATAAGTCAACATCAAAATCCATCCCTTTCCTGACCTATCCTGAAAGCTTAACCAAAAACCGCCACAAAACATTTTGCATAATGCTGCTACCAATTAATTAATAAATGTATTATTGGATCACCGCTAAAATCATGCCACTTTAAAGTAAGCCCATTTCAGACCTATTCTAACCAGATCATCAAAATCCCCCCATAACTTCTTGAGTTACGCTGGCGACAAAGACAGAAAGAAAGTGGCTATAAGCTATCACGTTTTTATTTATTAAATTACTATTATGTATACTGGTACGTAAGACGGTGAGAGCATTATTTACTTAAAAGAAAAGTTTTAGTTTAAGGCAGTCAGTTCTTTTCAGAGTTCAAGAGTCTCATGTACCATAAATTATAGTGTTTGCTTAGTTATAACTCACAACCTTAATCATAGTTTTTTTTTTAATTTTCGGCATTGTTTCTGAGATATGTACAAGGTCGGTGACTTGTAGGCCCATGAGGCCGGGTAATCTGTATATCTATATCACATGTCACGTTAATAAATAAATACTATACATACCCTCCTTGGCGTTGGTAAAAACAAATGTCACCAATGTCACAATTGCTGTCACAGGGTATAAAAAACTGGTAACAGGGTTTTATAGATTTTTTTGCTTTGTTTCATTGGATCGCCACATACGTACGTCTTCTCTTTGGTGTCTCTTAATTGTAAAAAGTTTCTCGATCTCTGCGACAAGCGACATTCTACGAGAATCAGCTGCAGTTACATGTGCATCTGCGTATTCCGTATCTCTATGCACTGTTAAAAAATCATGCCAGTAATAGCTTAGCTTTTCTACAACTGTATGTTAACCTAACATCTCGCTTAACAATTATTACATGTACATATATAAACTATTAAAATCATTTAGCGACACGTAAATGTAACGTCTTTAATTCTCAGCTTACCTGTCAGATCATTCAGCGCCCACGATATCTACCACCTCTATGAGTTATGAAACAAGTTATATATCCGATATATACATGTATGGGTCCTATATCGGTACGGCAGCACTGCACGCGTGGTATTAATAGCTCTGAGTACAAGTAGGTCAATATAGTTTACAATAGTATTCCACGACCTTCACCACCGCATTCACGCACGTTGCTTTACGTCGTTAACTCCAGTTACTGGTCCACATTTACTCTGTATATTAGCTGGTAGTTGGACATTACACGATAAGAACGTAATTGGCGCAGCTCGCTTTCTCGTTGACTTTTCTCTACTTTATTGCGTGCATGTTCACGTACACTGACCGCTGTTTATTTCTGTTCCAGGCTGAGACGAGATGTGGCCGTATTTGGTAGCCGTGATTCTGGTCCTGTTTGGGATTTATTACAGGTAAGCAGGGTTCTACCACTACTACTACTACTACACCCCCCCTCCCCCCACTACATGTCTTGTATGGTACGTGAGCAGGGTCTCCTCTCTCTCTCCCACTCTCTCTCTCTCTCTGTGTGTGTGTGTGTGTGTGTGTGTGTGTGTGTGTGTGTGTGTGTGTGTGTGTGTGACTGAGAGAGAGAGAGGGAGTCAACGTGTATGTGTGTCTGTGTGAGAAAAATTACCTTAGCTGGACGGAAATATAATTGTTCTTAATGCAAAAGTTCTTCAAATAAATTACATTTTTTTGCCATTTTCACCATGTTTTTCAGACACAGAAGGCATGCCTTTCAGTATTTCAAACGGATGGGGTTGGATGGCCCGACACCTTCCATTCCATTCGGGAACCTCACCGAAATCGGGTTTGGAAAAGGGGTACTGGGCATTTTGTATTATAGGATTTCAGAGAGAGAGAGAGAGAGAGAGAGAAAGAGAGAGAGAGAGAGAGAGAGAGAGAGAGGGATTGGTTGAATAAACAAATAATTCAGAATCAGACAAGAAGAGAGAAAAGAAACTCATATAGAGGAAGGTTATCTATTAGTTTAATTTGCAATCAATGTTTAAGGCGCTCCAAGTACTGACACATCATGGAAACGTTTTTTTATTTAATCTTTATATTTCTAGGATCCCATGGAAGCTCCCATGCGGTGGACTAAAAAATATGGAAAGTTCTATGGGTAAGTAAAATGGTGTAAAATGCGTGCGTGCGAGCGCGCGTGTGTGGGTGTGAGTATGCTTGGGGTAGTGGTCAGTACACCGATATTACTTTTGACACATAATAAGCCGGTCCAGTTAGGGTTATCATATGACCATATATAGGCAAATCACGTATCGGGCCATCGCTGTCTAATCTGATGGGTTGATGGCGCGAGGTGGACCGATTTCGGTCCATTTTGTCTTCAGTCTGAACGGGCCGTGAGGCACGTGTTTTTTTTTTGGTTTGTTAAGTAAACGATAGAAATACAAGTTTCTCTTGGACATAACATAACATAACATAAACTTCCTCTCGCCTTTTGGTTATTGTAAACTACTACATCAATTTAGTTTGTCATAAAAGCTCACTGTTTATATACGTTGAAGGTCAAAGTCAAATTATAGGACAGCCAGATTTGTAGCAATGGTATATATACAAATATATTTATCTCACTTTATTCTGCAGTATCTTCGAGGGGCCCAACCCGATACTTATCAGCACAGACTTGGATTTTCTGAAGGAAGTTTTTATCAAGCGCTTCAGTCATTTTCATGCACGGAAGGTGAATATTCGGACGTCAGCGTTATACTGAGTATTGGAATGCCCGGATGATGATGACGTTGTGTGTGTGTGTGTGTGTGTGTGTGTGTGTGTGTGTGTGTGTGAATGATCTCGTGCAAATACATTTTTTCCAATTTTTTTTTCTATAAAGTATAGACGATCTTTGATTACAGGTTGAAAAGAAATGACATTTTCACCAGAACGCTACTTGAGATCGTGAAATGGGTGTATAAGAATACTTGATTATGATAACAATTTTTATATGATCAAAGTGGCTTTGTAATCAAAAGCTTTCAAATAATTGGTAAAGAATACTGTTATCATCAACCACTGTTGATTGCCTTTAATTATAATTGTAATTGCGAGCCAATGACATTTTCACCAGGACGCTACTTCAGATCGTGAAATGAGTGTACACGTATGGGAACGCTTGATTCAATTATGATCATCATTTGAACGTGGTCAACGTAGTTTTGTAGTAAAAAAGTATCACATAACTGGTTATGAATACTGATATTATCAACCATTATTCCAATATCCCTGATGCCTTTCCAGCCGTTCCCCATTGCTCCAGACCCCAATGATGAGCGCGGGGTCAACATGGTCATTGCCATGGGGGACAAATGGAAAAGATTACGTCTGAACACAAACCCGGCGTTCTCAGCTCTGAAGATGAAACAGGTAGGAGGCGTTTTAATCCAAGGTTTCACCAGCGGTGGTGGTTAAATTTGGTGAAATTTTGTGCATTTTATTATACAGTGTATCCAACACTCAAAGGAACTTTCTAAAATCCTTCATTGTGCCTTACGTGATATCAAAGGTCTCAAAAATGGTAGCCTATACAAAATTTATGTGTGAACAATAATTTTGTAACAGACTCCCAGCGGATCCCGTTGTCAGAGAGCACCAGTTTTCCAGATAAATGAAATATTGTGCCCCTTTGATATCAAAAACAAAATGACTAACATTTTAAACCAATTCGAAGTAGATTTGAAGGGGCATTATTTGGTTGCTTGTTTGCAAATAATGGGCAAGCCTTTTGGTGAAATACCGCTGTAGTTCTTTTTAGAAAACTTGTCTCAAGACCCTCAAGATATAACTGATGTAATTATCCCCCCAGATGTCACCACTAATCAATGACTCCGTGACGAGACTGCTTCGATGTCTGGAGAAGAGGTGTGAGGAGGGAAAACCGTTCAATATTCAAAGGTAATATCAAATGCCCCCGCCCCTCTTTATTGGTATGCGTTGTAGTGATTATGTGTC